CTCGCAGTGTACAAAATTTCGAAAACATCATCAAAGCCCTGCCAAAATCCGCGTAAGCGCTCTAAGAGCGTCAATTCACTTTACATTCTTCCTGTGTGCAACAGAGCTGACTCAACAATACAATGACAGGCATAGTGAAAGACTACAGAAATCTCTTTGACGTGGAATACTATCTTGAAACATACTTTAAGGACCCAAAAACAGAGCCATGGGTCTTAGAGAAGCTACACGCCTTTTGGAAGAAGTTTAACACTGCTAAAAATATATCTCTTTTGGAATTTGGMGGGGGTCCTAATATCTCTCGTCTAGTCAGTGCATGCCAGTACGTGGATAGCATTGTTTTTAGCGAACACATCGATGTTATTCGACAAGCAGTTCACGATTGGGTTGGCAAAAAGGGTTTTAATTGGAAGASAACGTTTGATTKTGTWGTACAAGAGCTTGAGGGTAAAGATGAACGAGCAGCAAGCGACAGGGAGGTCGAGTTGAGAAGCAAGATTAAAGCTATAGTTCCCTGTGATATTACAGCKAGCAATCCACTGGATACAGCGACTTTGCCAGGAGACCTTCTTCCACCGTATGATGTCGTCTTCACTAGTTACTGCCTTGAAGCTGTAGTTGAATGTGATCAGGTAAAAATCGATAAGCTTTTGATTATAAATCGGTGATAACGGATGATTACAACTACACAAGCAATGTTATACTAGTTTAGATGAACTTCGTGAGCGTCTCAAATATGCATATTCATGCTTTTTATATTCATAACTATGTAAACATTCAGTCATTTAAGCTGTATGCGTCACGATCGAACCTGAGTTCCGATTTTGACCGATTTAAGTTRACATATCACTCGATTAGGTTCGATTCYTSATCGATGAAAATCGRCTTYTATTTGATTAWCGGTTTATTGTCGGAAAGAGACCGTTATAACTTTGCGTGACTGCGACAAGAGGCAGACGGAATATATTTCAGACGGATCACTCATGCCGAACTTACACGTAGCTTAAAATTATCACACAGCATTATTTTGTCCATTGCCAGATTTCAAACCGTGAGGGACTGGGCAAAATCTCCTAATAGCCAATGTGCGCGGCAGACATCTTGGATTTTGAGCGCGCAATGTATCCTGGGAGACTGAGTACATGCTCGCAATGACGGCAATCAAGGGAATGACCTGAAAACAATACCTCAAAACAATGCCGGGTTTTTCTTGCTGTGTTCCCACTTGTTTTAATAATAACAAGAAACAACGCCATCTAAAGTTTTATAACTTTCCAAAAGACAAAAAGCTCAGAAAGAAGTGGATCGCAAATATCAACAGACGAGGAAATGAGGGAAAGTTCAGCCTTTTCAAGCCGACTCACAGGTCATCGCGTTTGCTCTGAACACTTTGTCCATGGCATAAAAACCTATTTGGATAACATACCAACCGTTTTCCCATGGAATAAGGCTGCTAAGCAAAACACCAGAAGAATTCTAATTGAAAAACAATTGCCAGTAAATACGACCGACAGTACGACAGTCGAACTTGAAAAGTACACACCAAAACCTTGAACTAAAACAAACACAGAACGAAATAGCTGACAAGACATTTAGTGTTCCGTGCCTAAAAGATAAGCCTGATAAATTCAAGTTCTATACTTACTCAGAATTCCAAACACTTCATGAGTTTTTTATTATTATTATTATT